ATTGCATCACGGTAGATAGATAGATAATGATAGATGGATAGATAGATGATAAATGGATGAGATAGATAGATAGATAGATAGATAGATAGATAGATAGATAGATAGATAGATAGATAGATAGATAGATAGATAGATAGATAGATGATAAATGGATGAGATAGATAGATAGATAGATAGATAGATAGATAGATAGATAGATAGATAGATGATAGATAGATGATAAATGGATGAGATAGAGAGATAGATAGAGAGATAGAGAGATAGATAGATAGATGATAAATGGATTAGATAGATAGATAGATAGATAGATAGATAGATAGATAGATAGATAGATAGATAGATAGATAGATAGATAGATAGATAGATAGATAGATAGATAGATAGAGAAAGAGAGATCCCCAAAGGATCTTTGAACTAACAGTGGCTCCCAAAGGCCCCTGGAGATGACCGATTCTCTTTCTCCTGGGCAGCTGCTGGAATGGATCCGCCGCACCATCCCCTGGCTGGAGAACCGGGTGCCCGAAAAGAACATGAGCGCCATGCAGCGCAAGCTGGAGGACTTCCGGGACTACCGCCGCGTGCACAAACCTCCCCGCATCCAGGAGAAGTGCCAGCTTGAGATCAACTTCAACACTTTGCAGACCAAGCTGCGCCTCAGCAACCGTCCGGCCTTCATGCCCTCCGAGGGGAAGATGGTCTCTGTAAGTCATGGAGCAGCCCCACAAACCACAGGGCGGCTGGGGTTCACGTTGCTGGCCACGGGTTTTCCCGAAAACCAACTTTTGTTTCCGAAAGCATCTGGCCGAGCATCCATCCCGTACTTCCACGGTTTCGCTGTTCCGGTGAAAATAATAGGGCAGCTATTCTGAAGGAAGTTCTTTCTTCCTTTTGTTGTTGTTTTTATTTCAAGACACACATACATGGGAGATATCCCTTGAAGACAATCATATCTAGTAGAATACATCTTATTTTTAATTAAACAAACTGTTAAAACACGGTTTCCCAATCTTGGTAACTTTCCGACCGTAGACTTTAATTCCCAGAATTCTGGCTGGGGAATTCTGGGAGTTGAAGTCCACGGGTCTTAAAAGTTGCTCGAATTGGGTAACTTTGCATTAAAGGTTTCCAAGGCTTGTTGAAAAGCTAGTCAGGTGTAGGCCATGCCCCTTTCTGAAAAGAAGAAAGTATTTCACAAATATAGGTCTGTCTCTAAAGAGGCCTGTTTAGCAGGTTTTTGACACGCCAGCTATGAGCAGGATCCTTGGGCTGCCTTGAGAAAAAGCTTTTAGCCACTTTAAAAGGACAGAAATGGTGAAAAGCAACAAACGGGAAGCTTACATGGCACTCTGACCTTCTGCATGGAAGCAAAAATTCCTTAATGGAGAAATATCCCCAGTAGACAATTCTCAAGTGTAGTATCATGAGGTCGCCTATAAAAACAGTTTCAACCCTGCAGTTTTTTCCCCCCCAGGATTGGCCTTGCAGGTTTATTAACTGATGCCAGAGAGCTTGGTCTTATTAAAGCACTTCATTAAAACAGCTCATTAAAAGCATTTCTGAGAGGTTTGCCTATCATTATCCTTACACTCTTTTAACACTAAATCAATTTGTTCACCCTGACCTTTTAAGTAAGGCTTTAGGGTTTAAAATCTCTTATTTTTTGGTCACAGGACTTGCTAAGGGATTTGTTTCTTATACATTTTTTTTTAAAAATTAACAAATTACTTCTTTTTTCGAATCGGCCTGGTTCTCGTGTTCTTGTGCTGAATCCATGATGTGGTCTTATTGAGCGGCACATAAACCTTATCAAAAAAAGAAAGAAGAAATTAAGACAAGAAAAGAAATTGAGACAGATTGCCATCTGCTAAACCCCTAAAAATACCATATCAGATCATATCCTTAGTCAACATTAAAAAAAAAACTAAATGGTAACAAAAAGATATAAAAATACATGAAAAAAGCGCATTGCTTCACTCACCCACTTACTGGGCAGAGAGCCCGAGTTCCCAATTTTAATCAGTTACTTACTTGCTCTTGATTTACTCACTGAAAATAAAATAAATAACTGCTTTCAAGAGAACGGGAATTGAGGCTAGCCAAGTGTCTGTTTAGCAGAGATTAAGAGGAGGGGGATGAGATCTCCACTATGAGCTGCTATTCCTCTTTGGATCTGCTTTTAGCTCACTGAAAAACTGTTCTCCAAAGATTTGTTTAATTAACTGACTAACAAGAGTTGGAAGGAACCTTGGAGGTCTTCTAGTCCATCCCCCTACTCAATCAGGAAACCCTACAAAATTTGGTTGTCCAATCTCTTCTAAAAAAAACCTCCAGTGATGTAGAAGCCATTCCCCTGACAAATTGTCCTCACTGTTAGGAAGTTTCTCCTTAATTCCAAGACGCTTCTCTCCTGGATGAGTTTCCATCCGTTGCTTCTTGCCTTCCCTTCCTATGCTTTGGGGAACAGGTTGACCCCCCCTCTTCTTTGGGGCAGCCCCTCAGATATTGGGACACTGCTGTCCTGTGACCCCTAAGCGACATTGATCAGTCACATTTTTAAATCGCCCATCTCCCTTAACGGGGGGACCCTGGACAGCAGGCAATACAGCATGGACATATAAAGACAATATATAAAAGCTAAATAAATTTAAAAGGGCCAAAACACTTTTTAAAAATCAACTGAAAGGCGAAAGGAGGATTCTCAGGGCACTAAGCAGCCCCATGGCTGCTTTCTCCTCTGGGCTCCCCACCCAAGGCTGCAGAGCCATGTATTGCACTCTTTCTGGAAGGCCGGGGCGGGGGGCTGTCTTACCTTTGGGGAGTGGGGGGAGAATACTTCACAGGGCAGGGGCAACGGCAGAGAAGGCTGTCGGAGCCTGGACCCTGCCAGTTGGAGTTCTTTAAATGACAGGGTCCACAACATACCTTCCCTGCCTGAGCAGGTGGGATGGGCAGGTGTGACGGGAGACAGACAGGTATCACTTCATAAATGACATCATTGGGAACAGGAAGGGATGTAAGGGGATTTCTGAAGGCGGGCGATCGGTCGCCAAGCGTGTTTGCCCCCCTCCCCCTTTTGAGCAAAGCCTCGGCTGAGGCTGTCCCACCCACCCCCCCGCCTTCTGCCCACAGGACATTGCCAATGCCTGGAAAGGTCTGGAACAAGTCGAGAAAGGTTACGAAGAATGGCTGCTGACGGAGATCCGGCGTCTGGAGCGCCTGGACCACCTGGCTGAGAAGTTCAAGCAGAAGGCCACCCTGCACGAGAACTGGACCCGAGGTATTTGCGGAGGTCCTCACGGAATCCCCTTCTCCGCTCCTCCTTATTTCTCTAGGCACAAGAATAGGTGGACTAGCAATAGAGATGAAGCTTTCGCCTGGATTAGCAAAAGACAATAAAGTGTTAATAAAGGAGGACATTCTTAGCTCGGGGTTGACATGAGGGGTCCCTTGGTGCTCTCTGAGCCTGGTGAGTTTCTCGCAGGCGTTTCATGAGCCAAACTAGGTAACATCATCAGTGCTAGTAGGGAGTGGGGTTTGTGGAGAGGAGGAGGAGGAGGAGGAGGAGGAGGAGGAGGAGGACTGTGGGATTCTCGGTGCTCTCTGAGCTGGGTTGTTTTCTTGCAGAAGTTTCATGACCCAAACTAGGTAACATCATCAGGACTAGCACTGATGATGTTACCTAGTTTGGGTAATGAAACATCTGCAAGAAAACAACCCAGCTCAGAGAGCACCAAAGACCCCTCACGATAAAATATAAAAGTTTTTTTAAAAAACTATGTTCAAATACCAAGGTCCAGGCCATCTAACCATTGAAGCACAGCATTGTTTATATTTAAAAAAATAAAAAAACCCAGATCCTGGATCCATAGATGCCCTCAGCTTACAGCTGCTGTTGATGTGGTCTACAGTTTGACATGGGACCCTACAGTCACACCGAGGGGAGGATGCTGGGCCCTCTTTATACAGCGAATCCCTGCTCCTGATCAGCCTCCAGCCCTCTCCCCCAGCCCCCCCCCCCCGGCCTTTAGCTCCCTCTACTTCCTCTCACCCCAGGGAAGGAAGACATGCTGTCCCAGAAGGACTACGAATCATCCACACTCTATGAGATCCGGGCACTGTTGCGCAAGCACGAGGCCTTTGAGAGCGACCTCGCGGCTCACCAGGACCGTGTGGAGCAGATTGCGGCCATTGCTCAGGAACTCAAGTAGGTGTCAGCCAGCCGGCAGCGGCGTTGTGGTGGAACACAAGCACCTGCATCAGTTCTGCTCCCCAGTTCTACCTACTAGGCCGGCTGCCCCCAGCCTGAAGCCCAGCAGTGCACGAGGCCCCCCTGAATGACCTGGGAAGCTGGCCACCAAAGAGAGGGAGAATGTAGATACAGATAGCGAGGGAGCGAGGGAGTGGGATGAGCTGGGGGGGGGGAAGGTGGGAAGCTGTTTTTAATCTGTGAACCACCTCTAGTTAGACCAGTTAACCAGTGGAACAGGTTGCCTCCAGATGTTGTGGGTGCTCCAACACTGGAGGTTTTTATGAAGAGATTGGAAACCATTTGTGCAGAATGGTGTAGGGTAGGGGCAGGCAACCTTGGCTCTTTTGTGACTGGTGGACTTCAACTCCCAGAATTCCTGAGCCAGCCACGCTGAGGGGAAAGGGAGAGGTTTCCAAGCTGAGCCACGCTGGCTCAGGAACTCTGGGAGTTGAAGTCCACGAGTCGTAAAAGAGCCAAGGTTGCCTACCCCCGGTCTAGGGTCTCCTGCTTGAGCAGGGGAGTGAAGATCTCCACGATCCCTTCCAACTCTGGTCTTCAGTTATGCCAGTGGGACACTCCCCCACTGGAACCCCAAGCCAACTGGTAGAACCAGGTCTTTATGCTCTTAAGGAAGGTCAGGAGGTTGGGAGCTGACCTTACTTCTGGGAGCAAGATGTTCCAAAGGGCAGCAGCGATTCCACATTTAACGAAGGACCTCTCAGTAGGATCCTAAACAAGTTCCAGATGACACGTTCTGCATTTTCACGGCCTGGAAAACAAAAAGAAAATAAAAAGGTCTCAAAAACTCCTGATTTATCCCTGCAGTGAGCTGGACTACCACGATGCAGCCTCCGTGAACTCCCGCTGCCAGGCCATCTGTGACCAATGGGATACCTTGGGGACGCTCACCCAGAAGAGAAGGGATGCCCTGGAGGTGAGAAAGGGACGCAGGGATATTGAATGTCTCTTCCTGGATGTGGCTCATGGATTCGGGGGGTGGGGGGGGAAAGGTGTGGACCAGACAGACGTCTCTCTCTCTCTCTCGGGAAGTTCATCCGGCATTCTTTCCCCTTTGCCCAGCGGGTGGAGAAGCTGCTGGAGACGATTGATCAGCTGTACCTGGAGTTTGCCAAGAGGGCCGCCCCTTTCAACAACTGGATGGACGGAGCCATCGAGGACCTCCAGGACATGTTCATCGTGCATAGCATTGAGGAGATCCAGGTCGGTCTCAGGAGAGCAGCAGTGCTTAGACTTATATGCCGCTTCCTGGTGCTTTACAGGCCTCTCTAAGCGGTTTACAGAGCCGGCTTGTTGCCCCTAACAATCTGGGTCCTCATTTTATTGACCTCGGAAGGACAGAAGGCTGAGTCAACCTGGAGCTGGTCAGGATCGAATTCCTGGCTGTAATATTGCATTCTATCCAGCGGGAGGGAGGGAGAAGGGAGGGAGGAAGGAAGGAAGGAAGGGCAATAGCACTTAGACTTATATGCAGCTTCCCAGTGCTTTCCAGCCCTCTCTAAGCAATTTACAGAGTCGGCCTCTTGCCCCCAACAATCCAGGTCCTCATTTTATTGACCTCGGAAGGACAGAAGGCTGAGTCAACCTTGAGCCGGTCAGGATCGAACTCCTGGCAGTCGGCAGAATTTAGCCTGCAATACTGCACTCTGATCACTGGGCCACCACAGCTCATTGGATGGCGCCTGCATTCCTCCGGGCACCATCCCACTTGGGGCAGCCGCTGATCAGACCCCTTTTCCCCTCCCCAGAGCCTAATCACAGCCCATGAGCAGTTCAAAGCCACCCTGCCAGAGGCTGACAAGGAGCGCATGGCCATCCTGGGCATCCAGAACGAGATCCAAAAGATTGCTCAAACCTACGGCATCAAGCTGTCGGGCCTGAACCCCTACACCACCCTCTCCCATCACGACGTCGCCAACAAGTGGGACAAGGTGAGAACTGGCGGAGAAACAAAACAACGTTTAGGGAGGGGGAAAATCTAGGGGAGACTCAGTTTGTCAGGCGAACACCCCTGTTATTTCCCTGCTTTAATCCAACCTAGGATGGGGCTGAGATTTGGGGTGGGATGGTGGCATTGCTTTTTCTTCCTTTTCAGATTCTATATCCACTCCTAATCCTCTTTTAAACGCCAGTTTGCCTCCGTCCTTCCATTTAGGTGAAGCAGCTGGTTCCCCATCGCGACCAGACCTTGCAGGAAGAACTGGCAAGGCAGCAAGCCAACGAGCGCCTGCGACGTCAATTTGCTGCCCAGGCCAATATCATTGGTCCCTGGGTCCAGACCAAGATGGAGGTCAGGCCTTACTCTTTTCCACCAATGCACGGCTTTCTGTTCCTCCAGTGGGAAGGGTTAGGGTTATGATCCCGGGGTAGGCCTCATGGGATACGTACAAAGTCACGTCACAGAATTGCAGAGAGGAAAATGGACCACAGTGGAAATGGCTGAGGAATTCTGGGAATTGAAGTCCACACACCTGCAAGTTGAGAAACACCGGCCTAATCTAACTATCTTTTCAAAATAGAGACCATGTCAAGCATTCACAGTGGGGCACTAAGGAAAAATATAACCTGGGGGGGGGGGAAACTCAGAGAGGGCTACTCTAAAGAGGGATCAGAACTGACAAGAAAGTATGAAACTATTCGTTTTTCGTAGACCTCGCTTTCCAACTTGCAGAATCTCCCTGGCTTCTGGGGACCAATGGTGCCCCGTGATATTCGAGGGGAAGACGGTCCCACGGGACGTGAGGCCGGTGCCCAAATCTTAAGCCAACATCCTCTCTTTACCCCCCTCTCCTTCCAGGAAATCGGTCACGTCTCCGTGGACATAAGTGGACCTCTTGAGGACCAAATGAACCAACTGAAACAGCACGAGCAAAACATCATCAACTACAAAGTGAACATCGACAAGCTGGAAGGCGATCACCAGCTCATCCAGGAAGCTCTGGTCTTCGACAACAAGCACACCAACTACACCATGGAAGTAAGTGCCTGGACAGAAGAGGGTAAGGAAAGCAGGGGGGGGGAAAGAACTGGTAGTCCTTGATTTACGACCTCAGTTGGAATTTCCATTGCTAAGCAAAGCAGTTGTTAAGCAAGTCGCATTCAATTGTACAACCTTTATTTCGCCACGGTGGTGAAGTGGATCGCTGCAGCTGTTCAATGAATCCCGTGGTCGCGGATCGAAGCCAGCTTCCTTCCCCCTTAACTTGGCTTGTTGGATCACAAGACCCTGGGTTGCCGAAGGAGCCAAATTCTGATCGTGGGACTGGAGGGATCATGGGATCGTTCCTAAGTGGGAGGACCAGTCCCGTGTCATTGCTTTCGGTGCCGCTGTAACCTTGAACGGTCACCAAAGGAAGGGTTTTTAGGTGCCTGAGAACCACGTGTCAACCACGCATTCCCGAATTTGGGGGCAACCACAATCCTTGGGCAAAGTGGGGGGGGAAAGAGAGCATTGTCACGTTCACCAGCACCTCAAGTTCGGCTGTGGAGCCAAACTCCCTTCTCCCTGTGTCTCCCTCTCTACCGCTCCCCTCTTCTTCTTTTTTAAAAATTTTATTGAGTTTTATAGGGTTGGAGATAGAATAGGATCGGGATAAGGATTAAGGTTTGGGGTGGGGTCAGTATTGGGATTGGGAAGGGGTCGGGGTCAACACTGGGGTTATCCCCCCATAACATTTTCAATCGTTAGCAAACAAGTCTATTGTCTGGGTACCTATGTTCAGTTAACAATAGTTGACGTAGTAATAAGTAACTGCAATAAGTGTACTAAACGATGCTCATAAACAGGGTCAGTTAATCAATGCATATCATTCTTCTTGCGAATACATATTCAAAATAACCTATCGCATTCATTTCTCACTCGTTTGTTTTCCTAACCATTGGTAAAAATGATCCCATCTTCTTGCTCTTTAATCTCTGAGGTCAATCTATCCATTTCTGCACATTCCAAGATTTTCTTTAATTAAAAGCCCTTCCGTTGGTAAGTTTTCGTTTGTCCAACGTTGGGCATCCCTCTTCTTGACTGCAGCACATCCGCGTGGGCTGGGAGCAGCTCCTGACCACGATTGCCCGCACCATCAATGAAGTGGAGAACCAGATCCTGACCCGTGACGCCAAAGGCATCAGCCAAGAACAGATGAACGAGTTCCGGGCCTCCTTCAACCATTTCGACCGGGTGGGTAGCAGACCGGTCTTTGACTACTAGCAGGTCTGGAACAGCTCGGGGTTGGGAGCCTGTCACTCAAGCCACATGCTGGGGGGGTGGGGGGTGGGCTGGTCTGAGCCTCCTCCGCTCACCTTTTTTTCCCCGCTTGACTCATTGCAGAAACGAAACGGCCTGATGGAGCCTGACGACTTCCGGGCCTGCTTGATCTCCATGGGATACGACCTGGTAGGAGGCCAGCCTGGACTGCGTGGATTGGTTTTTGGGTGCCTGCTGCATCTTTTGGAAGGGAGGGGCACTAAGACCACCCCTCAGGGATCCTCCCTCTTGCTCCTAGGGGGAAGTGGAGTTTGCCCGTATCATGACCCTGGTGGATCCCAACAACACGGGGGTGGTGACCTTCCAAGCCTTCATCGACTTCATGACCCGGGAGACGGCCGAGACCGACACGGCTGAGCAGGTCATTGCCTCCTTCAAGATCCTGGCTTCAGACAAGGTGAGCGTTGCCCCCCCACCCCCACCCCCTGGGTTTGCCCACACAAAGGACTCTTATTTTATAGGCAGGATTAAACCTAGATTAGCTGGTCTCCTGCCAAAGAGAATCAGCAGCCGAAATCCTTTCTATCCCAAACGAGGAAAGGCCAGGCCCCCTCCCAAACCTGCTGTATAATCCCAATTATTCTTGAATTTCATGATTTACGGTGGGCCAGCTCTGCAATTGTGACAGGCCTCTCCGTGTATCGTAGACCTCTCAGGCAGCAGGCAGGAAGCCCCCCCTCCCCCTGAGGCTCACCCCATATCCAAGCCTGGCCTGGCCTTCTGCCCCATGGCAGACTCCCCCTCTCCCCCTTCTTCTTCTTCTTGTGCCATATCCGTTATCGGACATTGGCGATCATGTAGACGATCCTGTTTTTATCCGCAGCCGCACGAAAAAGTGCTGCTGAGTTTTATCCAAACTAGTCCCTTAGATTTTGAAGCCACGAGGTTCTTCTTCTTCTGCCTGGACCTCGTTTGCCTTCCATCTTTCCCTGGAGGATTAAAGGGAGTATGCTGTATTTTTCTGGGGTGTCGCATCACGCGTCCAAAATATTCTAATTTTCGTTTTTTAATTGTTTGGATGATTTCCCTTGGCTTTCCCAGGCGGCTTATCCCCTCCTCCTTTCTGAACTTGTCAACCCAGCTTCTACGTAACAGCCGCCTGTAAATCCACGTTTCAAATGCTTCCAGTCTCTTCAGGTGGCCTTCTGTCAGAGACCAACTCTCTACTCCATAGAGCAGGATAGAAAAAAACATAGCATCTGACAAGCCTGGTTTTCAGTCTTAGGCTTAGGTCGTGACTGCAGAAGAGCGTTTTCATTTTGAAGAATGCCGTTCGGGCTTTCTCTATCCTTGTCTTTACTTCAGCGGTCATGTCCCAGCTTTCATGTAATGCTCCCCCAACCTAGGCATTCCCAGGAAGCTCCATCCCACCACTTTGCAGGGAAGACCACCCAGGGCTCATCTCCTTCAATCTGGTGCCCTCCAGGATGCGCTGGGCTTCAGCCCCAGCAGTGGAAGGGGAGAGCAGCATCTGGGGAGGGCTGGTCAGTCAGGCCTCCTTTCCCCCCCCTTCCCCTCCCCCACCCCACCCCAGATGCCGGAGGGGTCCTCGGAGTCTCCTAGTGAGCAAATGTCTGCGGAGATTCTCAATCCTCCAGGTCCCTCTTGTCCCAAAGGTGCTTTTCCAAAAGGCAGCTGGGCTTTTTTTTTAATTTTTCTTTTTTTTTTTTCCTTTGAAAAAGTTTCGCTTCTCCCTCCAAGCAGCTTTTCCAGTTCCGGCTGAACTGAAGGATGGAACTGGAGGGTGGAACGCAAAGACTCTTAAATCCTTCCACCGTTCCCAAACCATTCGGTTAGAACAGGAGAAGCTTCTGGGATGAAAAGCGAAATGTTTTCAAGGGTGGGGGGAAAGAACCCCAGCTGACGCCTACCAAGCAGGTGCTGAGCGCCAGACTCCTACTGGCCTTCCACCAGGACCAGGAGAAAAGAACAGTATAACTCCATCCAGGATGCAGAAGACAAAAAGGACCAAACAATGAACCGAACGTGTAAAGTGACTTAGGAAGGAGAGAACAGTGTTCCAATGTCTGGAGGGGCTGCCACAAAGCAGAGGGGAGGAGGTCACCAAGCAGAGGGGAGGGGGTCACCAAGCAGAGGGGAGGGGGTCCACCTGTTCCCCAAAGCGCCAGAAGGCAGGACAAGAAAGAACGGAGGGAAACTGATCAAAGAGAGAAGCAACCTAGAACTAAGGAGGAATTTGTTGACAGGGAGAACAATTAAACCAGTGGAACGGCTTCCCTCCGGAGGTTGTCAAGAAGAGACTGGACAGCCATTTGTCCCAAAGAGCATAGGGTCTCCTGCTTCAGCAGGGGGTTGGACTAGAAGACCTCCAAGGTCCCTTCTGACTCTATTATTCTATTCTGTTTTTCTATTTCCTCCTTGCTCCTCCGCAGAACTTCATCACGGTGGAAGAGCTGCGTCGGGAGCTGCCCCCGGAGCAGGCCGAGTACTGCATCACCAGGATGACCAAGTACAGCGGAGCCGATGCCGTCGGAAGCGCCTTGGACTATGTCTCCTTCTCCAGCGCCCTGTATGGGGAGAGCGACCTCTGAACTCCCTCCTCCAGACCCCCCTAACCACAAAAGGCATGTGGGAGCCGAATGACCCCCCCCTCCTCCTCCTCCCTTCCAGGGGAGCTAACCCCATTCGAGTCGTGTGCCCACGGAAAGGCGGGCCCACGCCATAGCAGCCCCCTCCCCCACATGCCCCCCAACTGCCGGGCAAGGTCCCCCCCTCTCCACCTGTGAGCCACAGCCGGTGGATCCAGGGGTCAGAAAGCCAGTCTCTGTCCTGTCCTGCTGCTGTCTCTCTTCTTTGCTCCTGAGCTAGTCAGCCTTCCTCCCTCCAGGCTGTGCTCTGCCCTGCCTCCTCCTTCCCCCCGCCCCAGACCCCTCACTTCTGGGTTTCTCAGCCCCCCAAGATCTGGCGATGCTTCAAAAGGCAGCCCTGGGCGCTGTGCAAACGGTCACTCATGAGGGGTTCCCAAGGAAGCAGGGCAAGGCCGCATGGAACAAAACGCTGTACCAATAAACACCACACACTGGAGGCCCCTCTGTGGTCGGGGTCTTTCTTCTTGGTAGGCCAAGGGGGGGCCCCGGGGCGGGATGTACCACCGCCGAGGTCCTGCAAGCTAAAAGGCCAAAAGAGGGGGACTCCGTGAGCGGGGCGCCAGGTTTGCTTAGAACGAAAACGGCTGGATGGAATTCCATGTACGGAAACTCATCAAGGAGAGAAGCAACGTAGAACTAAGGAGACGTTTCCCGACAGTGAGGACGATTAACCAGCGGGACGGCTTGCCACCAGAAATTGTGAGTGCTCCGTCCCTGGAGGTCTTTAAGAGAAATGGACCGCCATTTGTCCAGAATGCTATAGGGCAGGGGTGACAAACTCGCAACGTCACGTGACGTGTCGCAACATACCGCAACTTTTTTTTCCATTGTGGGGCGGGGGCGGTTTTGCTATGATGCATCCGACCCCTGCTCTAGGATCTCTTCTTTGAGCAGAGGTTGGACTAGAAGACCTCCGAGGTCCCTTCTAAACTCTTATTCTGGAAGCCGGCCCTCTCCCTTCTGCCCACGAATCCTGAGATGCCCTGTCGTTTCTTTTGACTTTCTCATGCATCGCGGTTGATGCCTTCCCGGTAGCATCTGCTTGCAGAGAAAGTTAACGCTCTGCCTTCTTGACAGGATCCCCTCTGGCTCCTTGAGCAGTTAGACTAGCGAGCAAAGATTGAGTTAGACTACTCTCCCTGCGGTGATCCTGCTTTGGCCGCCGAGGAAAGAGCCCCTTTGCCAGAGCTCACCGGCGGGCAGTCCTTCTCGTGGCCTCCGAGCCCCGATTCAAATGAGAAATCGGCCCGAGGGAGAAAGACCCAAAGGATCCTAGTTAACAGGGGACCCCCCCCCGCCCGCATCCATTAAACCAACCGAGGGGCCTCCTTAAAGTACTTTATTAATAAAAAATAGAACTCTTCGGGGCCTGGAGGAAAAGGACCCAGGGATCACTAGAAAAAGGAGCAGGTGTGCGAGAATGCCAGCGTGGCTACCCAGGGTGGTAAACGGGGCTGAAGTGACGAGCTTCTCTGGGAACGGTGGCGCTCCCGCCCTTCCCAGCTGCAAACCAGTTTGGGCCCAGAGCGTAGCCCTCTGCGTCTCCCCCCGGGGGTGGGTGGGCAAGGGAGCGTTGGCAGCCGAGGTGCCCACTGGGTGTCAGGAGCACCAGGAAGAGCTGCTGAGGCTGTCTGCGGGAGAGGTCAACCTGGAGAGGGAGCAGATGGGCAGGTGTCCAAAGAACGCCGGGTCCGTCATGGGCAGGAGGAGGAGGAAGAAGAGCACCACGCCCAGCAGGTAAAAGAAGACCACCAGGAAGCACTGGGAGTGTTCCAGAGCCGCGCCCACCGCGGGGAATCCGATGTAGTTGCAGAAGGAGTGGCAGAGAACCGGCCCAAGGAGGTGTCCTGCGTGGAGAGAGGGCGGCGGTGAAAAGGAGAGCCCCCCCCTCCAGAGGAGCGGAGAGAGAAAACAAGGTTTCCCTCGGTGGAAAAGCCACCACCCAGCGATGTCGGGTGAACTAATAACGCGTTCTTTCAGTCAAGCTAAAATGAATTTGAGCTGGGAGGCAAGCGAGAGAGAGAATTCTTCATTTTTGGCCAAGGAAAAGATGGGACACTAAGCCAGAACAGGGCTATCTTAAGCCCCCCCTCCCCCCGTCCACCCGTTTTGTATTAATCCCAGATTAGCCTGGATAGAAAGGGAGAAGAACCTCTGCTCAGAATCAGGGTGTGATTGTTGTTCGCAGAGAAGAGGGCTCGGCATCTCAATTTTAAGATTTGGAACCTCCGTCGTTCCCAGCCCTCCGAGGGGGACATCCAGAGACACACACCCCCCGCAGGTGACAACAGCGGAGGAAACCTGGCAGGTAACGGGGGAGGAAACGTCTCTGAAGCAGGAAGAGGACGATGGGAAGGCTAATCCCGTCTCCCAACCCTTCACCCACCTGTTCGGATGAAGAGGAAAGCGGTGTAGGCTCCAAAGATGGCGGTGTAGGAGAACTGGAACACTGCAGGGGAAGGGAGCAGCTGGTTAGGAAAGATGGTGCGCTTGTGCGCATACGCAACGCTGCGTGGAGGGAGCAGGAAATCCAATTTAAAAAGAGGAGGCCTCTGTGCGTCCCCCACCAGAGCGACCCCAGACCAGTTGAAAGGGAAATGGTCACAAACGATGACAGACATTCAGCGATTGGCAACTTTTAAGATGTCTGGGCTTCAACTCCCAGAATTCCCCAGCAATATGTCAAAACCAGCACCACAAATCTATTCATAATGGTCTGGTCCAGGGGTAGGCTACCTTGGCTCTTTTATGACTGGTGGACTTCAACTCCCAGAATTCCTGAGCCAGCCGTGCTGAGGGGAAAGGGAGAGGTTTCCAAGCTGAGCCACGCTGGCTCAGGAATTCTGGGAGTTGAAGTCCACCAGTCATGAGGGGGCCAAAGTTTCCCTCATGCTGGCTCAGGAATTCTGGGAGTTGAAGTCCACCAGTCATGAGGGGGCCAAAGTTTCCCTCATGTTGGCTCAGGAATTCTGGGAGTTGAAGTCCACGAGTCATGAGGGGGCCAAAGCTTCCCTCATGTTGGCTCAGGAATTGTGGGAGTTGAAGTCCACGAGTCATGAGGGGGCCAAAGTTTCCCTCATGTTGGCTCAGGAATTCTGGGAGTTGAAGTCCACGAGTCATGAGGGGGCCAAAGTTTCCCTCATGCTGGCTCAGGAATTGTGGGAGTTGAAGTCCATGAGTCATAAAAGAGCCAAGGTTGCCTACCCCTGGTCTGGTCTAAGCCTTTTTCCCCACCATTCAACTTTAGTTTTTTGAGGAGGTTGGCCAAAACTCTGATTGTTTTGGGGGGGGGTGAGCTTCAACCCAAGATTCCCCTTCCTCACTGCCTTTTTATTAATGCCCCCCCCCCGGGACCGATCCCCACCTGCCGAGAGAAAGATAGTAGCTCTGCTTCCTTGGCGAAACCGCAACTGCTCAATAACGTGATGGAAATGAGCTGCGGGAAGAAAAATAATTACGTTAAAAAATAAACACACACACACACACAGATCTTGGCCAGACAGGCCTTAGGTTCTCCCTGGCTTTGCAGATAGTCCTTGACTTATAACCATTTGTTTAGCGAGTTTACTTACAATGGCGCTGAAAAAACCCTGGTCCTCTCATTTAAACCACAGCAGCATCCCCACCATCGAAATTCAGAGGCTGTGTAACCTGCACGTATGTACAATGTTTGCCCCGTCTGAGGCCACACGGCCATTTGTGACCTTCCCAGCAGGCTTCTGACAACCGTCAACGGGGGAGAGCCGGTTTTGCTTACCAACCGCACGGTTCACTGTTAAGCTGGTTTGCTTAATTGTGGCAAAAAAAAAACCCCCATAAAATCAGAGAAGACTCGATTAACAACTGCCTTGCTAGCAACGGAGAGTCTGTTGCCGATTCTGGTCCTACGTCAGAGAACTGTATTTCATCCCCTATCCAAAAAGCGTTCTTCATAAGTTGAGCCAACGGAAAGAAAAAAACAACCCAAGCTTGTTGACATCCTAGCTTCAGAGGAAAATCAGTCTAATTTGAGTCAATCTTGACTCCTGCTGACTTCACCCCTGGGGTTGGGCTTGGCAACAGCATGGACAGGGGATGTTTTTCAGCTTTCCCGCTAAGCCTACGGATTTGCAGCTTTCTGGAGAGATCTCATTCAATGTCTAACCAGCTGGATTCTCTAGCTTTTGTGAAATTCTTTAGCTACACCTGGGTGCTTTGTTTTCCAAATCAGCAGGCTTAGATCCGGAGCTTCCTGTTTGCCCCCACCCGATTCCCTACCCCACCGGAGCGTCTTTTAGTTAGATTTTAATAACCACAGCGCAGAAAGCGAGCAGGTGGAAAGCAAAGGCTTGCGCACACACACACACCCCTTTCTGTTTTGTAAGGCCTGTAAGCAGGAGGACCATTTCCCAAAAGAATAAATCAATCAATCAGGCATTCACACAGTACTGGCAGATTATTTCTAGCGCAGGGCTCCTTGGTGATCTCTGAGCTTGCAAACGTTTCGTGACCCAACTAGGTAACTTCATCAAGGCTCACAGAGGGCTCAAACACCAATCCCTTCTAGCACTGATGAGGTTGCCTAGTTGGGTCGCGAAACGTCTTGTGCTCAAGACCCAACTAGGCAACCTCATCAGTGCTCAAGAGAGTACCAAGGACTCCACAATTCATCCATTATCCCGCCGCAAGCCTTTGCCTGCTCGCCTTCTGGTACACAGACTTGGAGGAAGTAACCAGCCTTGGAGGTTACTTGGAGGAAGAACCAGCCTTGTCAGGGAAGACCCCACCCCTCTGATAGTGCCCCCCAGCTTCAAGCGTTTAGCTTCAGCAGATGCTCGTAGCCAGGTCCAGACAAGAAGAGCAAAAAGCCAGCAACCGGCTCAGGGCTTATCAGGGAGAGGGCACTGAAGGGAGAGCGGGTGGCAATTGAATGTAATCGATCGATCAATTAAAAACTCACCGACTCCAAAGAAGAGCGGGCAGGTGACGATGGCCAGTCCTACACCCGTGCAGGGCACCAACATGGGCACCATGCAGGCCCGGAAGACCAGCTCTTCGGTGAAGGGCGCGATGACCTGGTTGCGCAGCCAGCGCATGTCGGTGAGACAGAGAACCCAAAACCTGGGGTCTGAGAGGGGGAGAAGAAGCGGTGTTACTGACCCCCCCCTCCAAAACACACACACACAGGCCTTGATCCCTTGAGCAGGGGGGAAAACACGGCAGTGAGCCTCCTGCTCAGTTTAGGAGGCTGTCGCGGGATCACCTGAACTGCCACCAAGAATCAACCAGAGGCAGTCCTCGGCTTACAACCCTCCATTTAGTGACCGTTTGAAGTTACAACGGCACTCCAAAAGTGACTTAGGCCCCTTGTTTTCACATTGATGACCGTTGCAGCATCTCCAGGATCACGTGATCAAAATCTGGACGTTTGGCAACCCCAGCCTGTATTTATTTCCCAGCTGGCTTTCTAACCAGCACAGTCAGTGAGCTGAATTCATTTAACAACCATGTGATTCGTTTAACTGCAGCGTTTCCCTTCACAACTGTGGCAAAAAATGGCTGTAAAAGTGGGCCCGGCACACTCCACCACCACCACCCCGTCTTGCTTCACTGCCAAAATTCTGTTCTCAGCTGGGATCCTAATTTGAGGAGAGCCTGTCGCGAGACCAGTTATTTCTCAAGCTCGGCCCCTTTAAGAGGGGTGGGCTTCAACTCCCAGAATTCCCCAGCCGGCCATGGAAGTTGAAGCCCGCCCCTTTTTAAAGGGGCCGAGCTTGAGAAACACAGACACAGAGGGAACTGATCAAGCCACCCACCCTCAAATTCCCCAAAACACAGCGCACACGTCCCCACCCAAAGAAAACATGGCCCCAAAACATTTATCTACTCCTTAGTGAAATATATATATTTATTAACGCAAAGCCCATCCGCAGATTCTTACCAAAGGCCACTCTTAGGCCATCGACCATGTCCCAGGGACAGTCCATGGACAGCTGGATGAGGGGGCCGAGAAACAGGATCTGGGAAGAGAGCAGAACCACGTTCACCGGGGCGTTGCAGAAACCCGCCCATTTTAACCATTAAAAATAATTTATTCCCCCCCCTTCCCTCCAGCTGTGGAAGAGGGAAAGCCTTCCTCCCAAGGACAGCCTTGGCGAAGACCCAGGTTGCGGGCTAGTTGTCGGAAAAGCTGGGCCCGAAGTCGTCAAGGTGAGCCCCCCCCCTTACCACAGTCAGAAGCAGGGGCAGCAGTGTCGCCGGCAGAATGCCCTCCAGCCGGAAGCCCATCAAGGTGAGAAGGGATGCATCTGGCTGAGCAGAAGAGGAGACACCTTCATCAGCACCACCCCCCTCAAGCAGCAGCTTCCCTCTCCTTTCCCGACCGGCTCGTAAGCAGACGCCAGGCGCACCGCAGGGAAAGGGGCGTCTCGCCCAGACTAGCACGGTCTTAGACAAAATTAAGTTGCAGGCTTCTCCTGCTGTGAATTGATTTCAGCCACCGGAGAGGTTGGAAAAAGGAGACTTATTTGGGTTTTTTTTTTAATCCTGCGGTTATTACTCAAGGCACTGGACATGCCTAGTGCTCCTTCCTCTTCTTATTTTCCCCACCAAAACATCCCTCTGAGGTGGGCTGGGTTGAGAGAGAAAGACTGGCTTGAAGTCACCCAGTCAGCTTTCACACCCAAGGTAGGACTAGAACTCACTGACTCCTGGTGATTGGCCCAAAGTCACCAAAGCATCATTCATGTCCAAGGCAGGTCTAGAACTCACTGTCTCCTGGTGACTGGCCCAAAGTCATCTAAGCATCGTTCGCGTCCAAGGCAGGACTAGAACTCACTGTCTCCTGGTGATTGGCCCAAAGTCACCCAGCTGGCTTTCATGGCTAAGTCAACGCTAGAACTCACTGTCTCCCGGGTTTTAGCCTGACGCCTTAACCGCTTCGACCAAACTGGATCAAGATAATGTACGTAAGGCGCCATCTTAGACTCCCTGGAAATAGACTATTAAAATTTATATGCCGGCCAACTTGCCTTCACGCAACTTTTTACTCAATTCTGTGAGATGCCACAATTATTCCACACCGACTCCCATCGTCCCCAAATGGGCAGCGGAATTATTGTGCTGTGGGTGGCCCAAAGAGCTTCCTTCCACCTTTTAAGCATCCATTCAACCCACAGTAGGCCTCACCTCTCACTTCGACTGGTGGCTAGGTTGACCACAAGCCATTTAAACTGGTTCCTGAATTGTACCACATACCGAGGCAGGGATGAAGCAATGGATTAACCAGTCTCCACAAAAAAACACACCCCTCCAATCTAGCTAATTGCGCATTGTTGAGTGCTGTGTAGCATGAATCTTTTGCCAGGTTGCAATTATCTTGATTAAGTGCGCTGTAGTAAAGGCGGCCATCAAACAGTTCAGACTGACTCGAGGGGTGGAAACTGCCAAGAGTGGGCAAACACCACCCACTCTGGTGATGGCCCAAACCTTCTCCTAGGAAACGTCCTTTTCAACACGGGCGTCCTTGAGCCGTTTTGCTCACCCCAAGAAACCGGGCAGGTCTGTCCTGCCAAGCCAGGATGACCGCAAGGCAAGGGGACGTCGGTCCGATCTCGGTCTTGGAAAATGGCACCACCAAGAGATCAGAGTAACCGCTTGGCTTGAACCCGTGCGGATTCCAGCAACCAGCTTCGGCTGGTAACTGCACAGAAATTTCCCCAGCCCTTCCTAGGCCCAGCTCAAACTGCTGATGGTGGTCTTTTAAGGCCCTAAATTTGGCACCGTCAGACTAGAAACTGGGAGATGGTGAGTTCGAGTCCCGCCTTAGGCATGAAAGCCAGCTGGGTGACTTTGAGCCAATCACCAGGAGACGGTGAGTTCGAGTCCCTCTTTAGCCATGAAAACTGGATGGGTAAGTTTGGGCCAGCCCCCCCCCCTCTCTCTGCCCAATCCACCTCACAGGGTTGTTGTTCTGAGGAAAATAGGAGGAGAAAGGTATGTTGGATATGTTCACCGCCTTGAGTTATTTGTAAAAATAATAAAAAGATGGGATAGAAATAAATAAATTTTGTAAGCCCCTAATTTAGGTATTAAATTTATATGTCATCCATCTCACTATCCAAGAAACTTTGGGCAACTTGCAATATATTTTGAAGCAGCTCCTTTTTCGCACACCACTCTGCCTGCATGCTAATAAATTAGCCAGTTGATCTTTTTCATCAAATATTGCTTCTTTTACGGCAGGGGTCTTCAAACTTGGCCCTTTTGTGGACTTGCCTGGCTGAGGAATTCTGGGAGTTGAAGTCCACAAGTCATAAAAGGGCCAAGTTTGAAGACCCCTGTGTTACGGGATAAATCTATTTCAGCAAGGCTGTTTTCTGATATAAAACACTTTTTCTACACTAAGCTGAGAGGATACCTAACGTTGGCTGTAACCCCCAGAGCCCTCCAAAAGTTAGCACCGATTTTTATTTCTTTTTTAATGCAACAGAAGATGGAAACTGTCATAAACCAAAGAGGTTTAAAGGTTACATTCAGCCAAATGTAATTTTTTTTTCTGTCGCTTCTCTTTGCAAACATATCCAGCAAAGGGAGATTTTGTCTATCTGAACATAGTTAGGTATCCCTGCTTCAGGATCCCGGAAAAGCAATTCTTAAAATCCATCATTTCAAAACTTTAGAAAGCATTTTAGACCCTTGGGCTTTTCCCCTCCACTTTTCCCCTGCTGTTTGTTACATTTGTTGTTTGGATTCACTTTGGTTTAAAAAAGAAAGAAAGTAGTCTGTAAAGAAAGACACAAGTCTTCGACAGGCCAGAAATCTCCAGGTAAGGTTGGCCAAAGGCTTTCCGGGGCGCCCTCACCTTAATGCCCGTCACCTCTTTCCAGACCCAGATGAAGAGGGGCGAGAAAGTGGAGACCACCAGGACGCTGGTGAAGCGGCGCTTGATGACGGCGGGGTGGTCCCTGCAGGAGGAAAAAACGAAGTGTGAAAAAGTCCCCGAACCTGCTGTCACCAGGAGGAAAGGTAAAAGTCTCTGTGTGTGTGTGTGTGTGTGTGTGTGTGTAGGGGGGGGAAATATAATGCAGTGCAGCCTAGGGAGCTGATCTGTTCATTCACAAAAACCGAAGTGTGAAAAAGTCCCCGAACCTGCTGTCACCAGGAGGAAAGGTAAAAGTCTCTCTCTCTCTCTCTCTCTCTCTGTGTGTGTGTGTGTGTGTGTGTGTGTGTGTGTGTGTGTGTGTAGGGGGGGGGAATATAATGCAGTGCAGCCTAGGGAGCTGATCTGTTCATTCACAAAACCGGCCGATCCGGGGGGGAAAGGGAACCCCGGCGAAGTTCGGCCTCGGTGGGTTTACCCCACCGCAGAGAAGCCCAAGGGTTCAAGTTGACTCCAAGGCTCTTGGCTTGGATTGCCCCCCTCCCCATTTCTGCAAAGGGGCTTCGGCATAGAGACCCCCCGCCTCCCTCCCCTCCAAAAGCAAGCCCGGCGCCTTTCTCGCAGGGAAAGACCACCCCCCCCCAGCCCCCTGCCTCCGGACCTCCAACAACGGGGGGGCAGCCCCTCCGAGCGTCTGTAGCTCCCCCCCTCCTCCTCCGACCCCTCCGCCCCCGGCCTCACCTGGGCAGGTGGCTCTTCCAGACGTAGAGGCTGCCCACGTAGGAGCAGGCCAGGCCGAGGCAGGAGAAGAGCGAGGCCCAGCACAGCCCCGACCCGGCGCCCCCCGCCGGGCCCTCCGACGACATCGGGGCGCTGCAGGAGGAGCGCGGCTCAACCCGGCCGCCCAGGCGAGGCAGGCAGGCGGGCGGGCAGGGCCGCGTGGGGAGCCTCCGCCTCCCAGCCGCGGAAGAGGAAGCCGGCCAGCCCGGCTGGCGGCGGCGGCGGCGCTGCGCAGCGAGCAGGGGAGGGAAGCGGGCCGGGATTGCGGCAGAGAGACCCCGGCCCGGGCCAGGCGGGCATCCCGCCCCCCGCCGGCCAGTCCCGCCAGGGCAGGCGCCCCCCTCCCCGTCGCCTCCCCCCCTCCGGCCCGCCTCCCTCCCTCCCTCCCTCCCGCTCGGTCGGGGTCGGCAGGTGGAGGGGGCGCTCCCGGGGGGGCTTCGGGCGCTACGCGGCAGGCGATCGCCGCCCCCGGGCTCGAGGTCGCCCGCCTTGCGAGAAGGGGAAGCAGGCGAGCATTCCGCCCGAGAAAGAGAGAGACGCGGCGCCTCGCACCGCTAGGGGGCAGCAGCTGCCTGCCGCGGCGGGCCCGGCGAAAGCTAAGCGGGGTCGGGTCCGGTTGGAAGTGGAGGGGCAAAAAAGGGCAGCCACGTTCCTGCCGAGGGAGGGTGTGAAGTGATGGGGAACTGGGGTCGGGGAGAAATCCTGAGAAATTGCCAAAATCAGGACTAGTTGCCTTTCTTGGGTTCCTCCGTAGCATTTGGGGGAAGGAGCAGCCNCAGCTTGCGGGACTGGCCTAAGGGATTTTAAAGGGGTTTTAATTACTTTTAATCTGACAAATTTAAATATTTCTTTTTAATCAAATTTTAATTAGGTGTATAATATGTTAGTATTTTATCCAATTGTCAGCCGCCCTGAGTCCGCAAGGAGAAGGGCGGGATATAAATGTAATTAATAAATAAATAAAATAAATAAATAAATAAAACTCCCAGAATCCCCCAGCCAGCATGCTTTAAGAGGGGGGGGGGACTTCATTTCCCTGGATTTCTCAACCAGCATGAGAGTTGAAGTCCACTCCTCTTAAAGCATGTTGAGAGGGGAATTCTGGGATCTGAAGCCCACCCTTCTTCAAGGGCCCCTGGTTGAGAAACACTTCTCTAGGAACAGCGTTGTGTTCAGTCTTCAGTTCGTGGAAGGGACCAAGAGACAGTGAATGGCTTTTTTCCATTTATTGCCTTGCCCGAGACACTCCCGGGAATTCCGTTAACTGAACAGGAATGGCTGCTTCAAGAGGTCCACTTGGCCATGTTGAAGACCTCCTGAGCCCAAAGGTGGTCCTCCTGCAAGATGGAGAAAGTCAGAAGAGAAAGCAGCTTTGAATGATGTTGAAGCAAAAACGTCTGTCAGCCTAAGGCAGCGTTTCCAAACCTGGGCAACTTTAAAAGGAAAAACAGAGTTGGAAGGGACCTTGGAGGTCTTCTAGTCCAACCCCTTGTTCAAGTAGGAGACCCTGTACCATTTCACACGAATGGTTGTCCAATCTCTTCTTAAAAACATCCAGGGTTGGAGCACCCACAACACCTGGAGACAAGCCCTTCCACTGGTCAACTGTCAGGAAATTCTGCCTTAGTGCTAGATTGCTTTTCTCATTAATGAGTTTCCACCCGTTGCTTCTTGTCCTGCCTTCAGCTGCTTTGGAGAATAGGTGGACCCCCCTCTTCTTTGGGGCAGCCCCTCAAACATTGGAACACTGCTATCATGTCACCCCCAGTCCTTCTTTTCACTAGACTAGACATACCCAAGTCCAGCAACCGTTCTTCGTATGTTTTGGCCTCCAGCCCCCTGATCATCTTTGTTGCTCTTCTCTGCACTCTTTCTAGAGTCTCAAATGTATTTTTTATAGCATGGTGACCAAAACTGGATTCAATATTCAAAGACTTGAAGACTTCAACTTCCAGAATTCCCCAGACAGCATTGAGATGGGTGGACTTCAACTAAGTGAAAGCTAAGCAAACTGTAACATGACTTAAGGGACGTGAACCTGGAAACCCTCTTAATCCATTCATTCTGTTTTGTGGATTCTTGTTTTTTACAAACCTGACATAGATTTTTGCTCCCTTCTGCAAGTGATATTTTGCTCCCTTCTGCAAGTGATATTTTGTCTGGGAAAATATCACTCTGACTCTTGGAAGAAGATGGAAAGGAAGAGGTTGAAGTGGTCTCTGCTCTTGTGGAGAGACTTCCTTTGGGTTCCTGGTTCTTGGCTTCACCGGAGACGAAGTTAAGGTCTTCTGAATCCGCTTCCATGAGGATCCTCTTATTGGCTGGTTTTCTCTTCTTTGTCGTGCTTATTTGATCACACACTGACCAATCAAACCAAAGTCCTGCAGGACACAAATCGGAAATCGCACACATATACAGACATGAGGCACAGACATGAGGCACAGACTCAAAACTGCACGTTACATCAGTTCCGTTAAGCCAGGGGTAGGCAACCTTGGCTCTCTTTGCTGGCTGAGGAATTCTGGGAGCTGAAGTCCACAAGTCATAAAAGAGCCAAGGTTGCCTACCCCTGGGTTAAGCATTATAGATAGTCTTTGACTTACAATTCATTTCGTGACTGTTCAAAGTTACAAAGGCCCTGAAAAAAAAAAAAGACTTATGACCCTTTTTCACACTTAACGACCACTCAGGCATCCCCGTGGTCGCGTAAACAAAATTCGCTGGACAATTGACTCGTATTTATGACGGTCGCAGCGTCCTGGGGTCACACGATCCCCTTTGGCGACCGTCGGACAAGCCAAGTCAAGGGGGGAAAAAACAGATTCACTTAACAACTGTGTTGCTAGCTTAACAACCGCAGAGAGGGCAAGAAATAAAATAGGGGCAAGATTCACCATAATACTAATAAACCCTTTATTATCAAAGTATAACATGTCTACAGTGAAACTGGCTTAGCAACAGAAATGTTGGGCTCCATGGTGGTCGTTAAGTCGAGGATTACCTGGATGTCAGATGGCTGTAGCTAACCTTTTTTTTAAAAAAAAAACAAAACCAAGATTTTTCTGCTGGAGTTTTTGGTTTTTTTAAAACTTTTGCAAGGCTCAGCTTACTTGCTGAAGGAGCTGCACCTGTTTCCAGGGCCGTTCAGAGCCTGGGAAATGAAGTGTTCTGGTTTCTGTTTGTTTTAGAATGTTTGCCCGTTGCTTCACTTCCTTTTCTTTCCTTTTTCCACCTTTGGGTTTGGGTGCGTTTTTCCCGCTGGGAGAGGTCACCGGAGGACAGAATGCGACGGATCCAGAGAGGAAGGGCTGTCTTTTTTCTAACTGGAGAATTTCAAACTTACACCGTTATGCTCTCTTTCTTTCTGTAAACTGTATACTTTTATATTATACAGGTCGTCCTCGACGTACGAGCACAACTGAGTCCAAAATTTCTGTTGCTAAGGGAAACATTTCTTAAGTGAGTTTTGCCCCATTTGACGTCCTTTCTTACCACGGTTGCGAAAGTGAGTCACTGCAGTTGTTAAGTTAGGAACAGCACCGTTCTGGAATAGTGTGTTTCCTTAGTTGCGCACTCAAAAGACACACACCTTCTCTCGCGCGGGTTCCTTCCCCTGGCTCCAGTCCTGTATGGCTAACACAGGAACACAACATTTTCTGATGAATGGAGGATGGCCTTGTCTTATTCTTTCTAGGCAGTGGCTGCACACACAAAAAAAAGGAGACAGTTTGTATTAACAATATACAGATTATATTAAAGGAAGAATAGAATGCCGGTAATTCTCCAGGCCATGGAAAACCGTCATGGAAAGATTTTGGAAGGGTAACAACTCATCCTTGCAATGAAGATGATCTCTGCATTATATTATTTTTATAACAGAGAAAAAGTTAAGCGTGTTACGAACCCGGGGATCGGTTAGGGCCGTGCTCACCGGCAGACTGCAGATACTTCATTGACGGAGTTTTTGGTAAGAGATCTTGGCTGGATTTTGGAATTCAGGTAGTCCTCAACTTACGCTACTCAAAGTTACAACAGCACTGAAAAAAACTGACTTAAAATTAAAATTCGGCCGCTTGGCAAGGGGCGTATGTCGACCGTGGTTGTAGGGTTCTCCCAAGTCATATGATGGCCTTTGGTGACCTTCCCAGCAGCTTCCAACAAGCAAAGTCAATGGCGGAAGCCAAATACACTTAACGACACGGTTCAGGATTTGCTTAAACAACCGTGGCAAAAAAAGGTTGTAAAAACGGGCGTGTTGTCTTGCTTAGCAACAGAAATTCTTGTCCCAATTGGGATTGTAAGTTGAGGACTATCTGGAAGCATTCGCAGTAAGCGACTGAACCAGGGGTCTTCAAACTTGGCAACTTTCAGACTTGTGGACTTCCTCCCAGAATTCCTCAGCCAGCACAGCTGGCTGAGGAATTCTGGGAGTTGAAGTCCACAAGTCTTAAAGTTGCCAAGTTTGAAGACCCCTGGACTGAACAATTCTGGGAGTTGAAGTCCACAAGTCTTAAAGTTGCCAAGTTTGAAGACCCCTGGACTGAACCTTCATTCTCTTAACAGCCAGGATCAGAATGGTGCTGGACAAAGATAAGAGGAGGGAACCAGGACAGAGGAAGTGTATTGAAGAGAACGTTTACCCTTTTGATCTCACAGGTATGACTGGGCTTCCGTTGATTAAGAATGACTTTGTTCAAAGTCTCTTGGATGCTTTCCTGGAATTCATGAGTATCTGCAACCTGAAAAGAGAGATAATCTCTTGACATGGGTGGGCAATGACGGCCCCTGTAGGACCTGGGGGCTTCAACTCCCAGAACTGAGCATGCTGGGGTTGGCTGAGGAATTCTGGGAGTTGAAGTCCACAGGTCCTAAAGGGGCCGCAGCTGCCCATCCCTCTTTTTAACACCCTGCAAATGTAGCTTTAATTTCTCAGGCAGTCCTTGACTTACAACTGAGCCCAACATGTCAGTTGCTAAGCAAGACAGTTTTTAAGTGACTTTTGCCCCATTTTTTCATCTTCTTTGCCACTGTTGTTATGTGAATCGCTGCAGTCGTTAAGCTAGTCACACGGACGTTAAGTGAATCTGGTTTCCCCATTGACCTTGCTTGTCAGAAGGTCGCAAAAGGGGATCACACAACGTTGGGACGCTGCGACCGTCATAAATATGAGTCAGTTGCCAAACGCCTGAATTTTGATCACGTGACCATAGAGATGCTGCAACAGTCCTACGTGTGAAAAAAGGTCATAGGACACTTTTCAGTGCTGTCGTAACTTCGAACAGTTGTAAGTTGAGAACCACCTTTATTTCTGATGAAAATGTGAGATGAGAGCTACACGTAAATGAGTAGTTTGGAAGCTGCTTAATTTAACTTCATGCCCTTGCTCGTTGCCGGGCATCATCAATTCCCGGTCCTACCCAACCTTTCTAAACTCAGTTGTTTAATTTAAACAACGCCCTGGTTTTAACACATCTTGGCGGTACCTGCAGGCTATGGATACACTTCCTTCGGAACTCGCTGTCGGTGCTGCTCGAGACGATTCTGGAAATGGCGGAGGCCATGATGGGTAAAGAACGGGCCAGCTTCTGTTGCTCCTGTGGAGAGCAAGCAGTCCTGCCTAGTGCTCACAGCCCCTGACAGCCTCAGAACAAACTGCCAGAGGGTCTTCCTTCCCCCCTTTGCAGTGGACGGTAAAACCATGCTTCGGATTTTATTTTATTTATTTTTTTTCATCCAGGTTGGAAAATTGCCCATCTCTTTCACGGAAAGACGCAGGGCAGAGTACGAATAAAATATTAAAACGTGGTTTAATGGACAGTTCCACATCTATCAAGTGCAGGTAACCAGGAGCCAAGGAGTACAGTTTTTTTCCATGCTAACACTCTACACAAGAATCTGAACTACGAAAGGTCAAAGCAAGTTGGTGGTAGATAAGTGTCAATGGAATTCAAGGTGGGCTGGACTTGGATCCTCTCTTGTGGGCACAAAGGGACTCAACGCTGATGATGTGCTTGGCCCCTCCCTCGGGCTCAACCTGGTTACCTGTACAACACTGATGTTGGTTAACAGGCAGGGGGAAAGCTAACCAGCCCCACGGCTGCATTCTCCTCTGTGAGTCCCAAACAAGGCTGAAGTTCCATGTTTGCATAGAATTACAGAATAACAGTTGGAAGGGACCCCTAGTCCAACCCCCTGCTTGAGCAGGAGACCCCATACTATTCCAGACAAATAGGTGTTCAGTCTCTTCTTAAAAACCTCCAGTGATGGAGCAGCCACAACTTCTGGAGGCAAGCCCTTCCACTAGTTAATTGTTCTCACGGATAGGAAATTTCTTCTGACATAATTTCTCCCCAAATAAACAGGATGTTGGGACCTTGCTCCAGAATTCTTGTAATGGCCCCATCCTCCTCTGTAAGCTGTCCGGAGTCACGGTGAGTGAATTGGGCAGCCATGTCAATTTTCTAAATAAATAAATAAAACTCTTCCCCCTTTCTACTCCCAAGCCTTGACCCTCAAGCCTTCCTGGCCTTTGCACCTGGAATACTCTGTAGTGTTGATCCAGGACTTCATTCACCAGTCCTTGGGTAGCCTTTTTCACAGCCTGCTCATTGCAGAAGAGGATAGGTGAGAGATGGGACAGAATCACCCGCCGGTCCCCTGCAGCATGCAAAGAGAGAATGGGACAAAAGATGACATGCAGATGCTAAATGCACAAATGCACAACTTCGTATAAGATAGATGAATGGGTGAGCATGTTTCTGGCCTGTGAATATGGGGGGGGGGGGGGAAGAGAGAGAGAGAATGGAAGACAAAGCCTCTGGTCCCAGGGACCGAACCGGATTGGATCTTGCAACAAAATTCCTCTCAGTTCCCCATGCAATTTGCCTTTGTGAGCTCACCCCCGGTATAGGTAGTCCTTGACTTACAACAGTTCATTTAGTGACATAGTAATGAAAAAGTGACTTATGACTGATTTTCACACTTATGACCATTGTAGCATGCCCACGGTCACTGGATCAAAATTTGGATGCTTGGCAACTGATTCATATTTACGACGGTCGCCGTGTCCCAGGGTCACCTGATCCCCTTTTGCAACCTGACAAGCAATGTCAATGGGGGAAGCCAGATTCACTTAACAGCCGTGTTACTAACTTAACAACTGCTGTGATTCACTTAACAACTGTGGCGTCATAAAATGGGACAAAATGAACAAATATGAATTAAATGAATTTAAATCAGCAACAGAAATTATGGGCTCAATTTGTGGTCGTTAAGCCGAGGACTACCTGTGTTTTGGAAACCATGGTTTTTACGGCTTGGCCATACTGTGAGCCAGACATTGTGGTTTACTTTAATAAACTGTAGTTAAAACCCCAAATGTCCTAATGCTTAAGGGGCACACGTACACTTTGCTATTTAACTAAGCTATTAACTGGGAGAAAAGCCAAATCATTCTGCCAACCGACTTTTTTTAGAGGCTTCAAGAACAGCTTCCAGAATAAATGTCTTTAAAAGCACATCTGTGCGGCGTTTGTATTTTTAGCGGAGGGCATAACGATCCTAAAGCACAGATGGAAGGTTAAATGAAGTTATTCAGTTTCTCTCTGATTTCCCCGACTTGAGCGTTTTCTTATCCCAATTTCTGATTGCTTTCATATATTCTTGATTAGCCACGGGGCCAAAAGTTTATTCTGTAGCTGCTCTCTTGCCAGTCTCATAAAGTTATTGTATCCAACCCCTATATTAGCGTTCCCCTGCCAGATCCAAGCAGATATACATGTGCATGTGTGTACATATGCAGACGTATGGGTATAAATCTATATTTATATATACAGGAACTGAAAGTTGGCTTGTCCTGAAACGGATCCGCGTATCCAAAAAAAAGGAAGAGCAGCAGTGTCTGTTCCTGAACATCTGAATCCTGCCGGTGACTGCTTTGAAGGTTAAACTGGATTTCAGGTCTTGCTGTATCTGAGAGACAAAAGTTTGCAAAGTCAATGGGGAAGCCAGTTTCACTTCACAACTGTGTTACCAACTTAACAACTCCACTGATTCACTTAACAACTGTGGCAAGAAGGGTCATGAAATGGGGCAAACTCAACAAATGTTTCACTTAACAACACAAATGTTGGGCTCAGTTGTGGTTTATAAGTCGAGGACTACCTGTAGATACCTATGTACATATATATACGTATTCAAAAGCACTTCCAGATGAGGTCTGCAGATCCAGCCTCTGAAGAGGTTTCGGAACAACAAACCAGAGTTGCACCACAGATGGTTTGTGGACTCGGCTTGGTTGTGATGCTCTGTGGGTAAGCTCCCTCTCGTTTTACACCTCATGTGCAGAGTTCTCATGAGAATAAATGGGGCAAGCATCAGACAGTATTTTATTACGCTGAAAATAAACATGTCAGATCACTGTTTTATTTTCAGGTCTGGCTGCTCCCGAGATTGTTCCCTGAAGAACTGCAGATGTAGTTCATTCTTAAATAGCTTTCCCACGTTCAGACCGGATGACTGAACACTAGTGCCGTCGACAAATATGTGTGTTACCTGTTTTGCAAGATGCAGCTGGGTTTAGTGTGGCTTGATAGGCATATTTGCCCCATGATGCTAAGCGGGAAGGATCTTCAAAGAAAGAATACGAGATCTCCTCGGCAGAAAACAGTATGGGCAGCCCAGCTGGATCGTAAAGAAATATATATATTGATGGCTAGGGAAAAATTCCTCTGAAATGCCAATGAATGATGGACAGAAACCGACCGTTGAGTTTGGTATAAAAAATTGTGAGCAGTTTTGGGTGAGTCCAATGCTGCTTTTCTTTCGTTAAATTCATGCAGTCTTGAGACTGCAGCAAACCTTACTATAACTATTGTTTTATATATATATATATATATCTTTCCAAAAACAAACTGTGAACACCAGGAGTATATCAAACTATACAAAGTTTAATAACATAAAACATAAAACAAAACTACACCAAGCTTTCGTCGGACTCCTTCCGACTTCGTCAGGGTTACGTGCCAGTCCATGAGAGAGTCTCTTTTATACGCCATCCATCATCTGCGCCCGGCTTC